CTGGTGAAGCCTCTCACCGCCCCTGAGCCTCTGGCCTGTACCCCAGTTCTGTATGCACAAATAAATAAATCTTTAAAAAAAAAAAAAAAAAAACTCTGAGGTATCATTTTCTCTATCAAAATGGCAAAAATTCAAGTTCAATAATATTAACAAGGCATAATATAAACAATACTGATCCTAGAGTCAGAGTACTTAGTTTGAATTTCTGCCATAGTAATTGTATGATTTGGGCAAGTCATTTAATTTCTTATTCATCTGAAAAATGGATAATAATAGTAGTATCTACTTCAAAAGGATTCTAAATTAAATGAGGGCCCTCCCTGGTGGTGATAAAGCACAGCTCTATGAAGCTCTCAGCAGCCACTGCACCACAAGTTCGATTCTCAGCCAGGAAGGTGACCCACATGGCACAGCAGACCTCTCCTGTTGTGCCTGCTGCTCCCCTTAGCAGTGTATTTTGGTCAATCTGCCTGTTCTGTTCCCCACTCTGTCTCTGGTAAATCCTCTCACCTCCCACACCACTCCAGTTCTTGTGTGCATAAATAAATAAATCTTTGAATAAAGAAGACATGCTGATATTCTATTTTTTTTTTTAAGATTAAATGAGGTAATAGATATATAAAGCATTCAGAACAGTATCTGGCACATAATAAGCACTATGTAAGCATTAGGTATGATACAGTTAGTGTCCATGAGTAAACAGGCAATATATTGGAAAACACTCTCTGCAAAGCAATTTCATAGTAAACATATTTCATAATAAAAAATGCATATATCCTTTCTAAATCTTGTTTTCTAAAAAATTTATCCCACAAATACATTTGCACACATGTAAAATGGCATAAGTTAAAAAAACTTAAAGCAACACAAATGTCCAAAAATTAAGAACTAAACAGTTACGATATCAATTCAGTGGAATATTATACAGAAGTTAAAAAAAAGACAAAGTTCTCCATATACTAATATGGAAAGGTCTCCAAGATATGTTAAATGAAAAAGCAATATGGGAGATTGGGATAGGAGAAAGGAAAAGTTGGCCTCTGCATGAAAAGTAAAATTATAGAATATTCATATTTTGTATTTGCCAAAAGAAAGCCTAAAAGAATATTGAGGAACTAATAAAAATGTTTAGGAGGAAGCATGGACTGGATGGATGGGGAGAGGTATAGGAGTAAGACTTTTCATTGTTTATAGAAAACATGTAAGTGCAAATGCTCAACCATTTGAATATATTACCTATTCAAAGACTAAAAAAAAAAAAAAAAAGATTAAGGCCCTCCCTGGTGGCGCAACAGGTTAGGATGCAGCACTGAAAGCTAGCAGCAGCTGCTGCAGTGCCAGTTTGATCCCCAGCCTGGGAGGTGACCCACATGGCTCAGCAGACCTCTCCTGTCTCAAACGCTCCTCCCCTCAGCAGTATATTTCAGTGGATCTGCCTGTTCTGCTCCCCACTCTCTCTCTGATGAATCCTCTCACCTCCCCCCCACCCTGTACCTCTGATCTGTACCCCAGTTCTGGTATCCCTAAATAAATATTTTATAAAAATGCATTATTTCTAACTTTAAGTGTCTTTCAATATGATCAGAAATCTTTTTTCAATCCTGAATCCACTCTTTAATTTTCCACTGCAAATTTCCGTGATCACAATATGTAAGTCAGAAACTAACCACAGTTCCTTTCTTCTCCAGAGAGTATTGATTTCTCCACAGATAACTGATCACACCAAGAAAATAAGGCCATCCCAGCAGACCTTAACTGTCTTGCCCACTGTCCCCTCAGCAGTGTATTTCTGTACATCTGCCTGTTCTGCTCCCCACTTTGTCTCTGGTGAATCCTCTCACACCACCCCTAGCACCTCTGGCCTACACCCCAGCTCATCTATGCATAAATAAATAAATCTTAAAAAAAAAAGTCTGATTACTATTTACCTCCACATTTACTCCTCAATCTATGGTAACCTGGCTACCACTAGCATCATACTATTTAAAGTGAATTTTGAAGGACACAATTAATGATCTAATTGCTAAATTCAATGGTTTCTTCCTAATCCCCATTCTGCTTAACCCCTGGTGTATCTGACACTGGTGGTCACCACCTCCCCTCCTGAAATCCTTTGTTCCTTTGGTTTCCATTTACAATGCCTTTCTGTTCTAGTTCTTGTCCCATTACTTCAAACAATGATGTTTCTTCTGGTCCACAACCCTTTTAACCTTTTCTTCTCTTCTTTTTTTTTTTAGAGATTTTTAAAAATTATTTATGCATACAAGAACTGGGGTGCAGGCTGGAGGTGTGTGGGAGGGGAAGTTTGCAAAGATTCACCAGAGACAGTGTGGGTTGTAGAGCAGGCAGATTCATTGAAATACACTGCTGAGGAGAGCAGCAAGTGAGAGGAGAGGTCTGCTGCACCATGTGGGTCACCTCCCTGGCCTGGAATTGAACTCATGCTCCAATGACTGGTGATAGCTTGATAGTGCTGAGACTTTAAACCCCACCACCACCACCATCACCCGGGAGCCCCCCCCCCTTTTCTTCTCTTCTTTCAGTACTACCATGTCACACTTAAGGCTTCAAATATCTCCCACAATTTTTCCTTTGACACTCAAATTTATGAACTCAGTTCCAACCTTTTTCCCAATTTCAGACTTAAATTTCCAGCTATCCGTCATACCTGAAAAAATCCTCAAACTAGTGTTATCCAAACCTTCCTTATTCACTACCTCCCTTTAACATTTCTTCTTTCGGTTTCCTACTTCAATTGCTAATACCAATCCATCCCATCAGCCAAGTTCAAAACTTCCCACCAGCTCACCATTCTCTTCATTTACTTAACACTAGCCCACCCCATCCCCTTCTGACCTGGATTAGCACACATGTTCCCGCCCACCTAATCCTTCCTCATGCTCCAATCTTCCTCCACATACTCGTTAGAGATACATCAATCACACCAAACTCCTACTTAGAAAACCTTCGATGGCAGCTCATGCGTACAGAGTAGAGCCCAAATTCATTAGCAAAGTTTTCTAAGAGGTATAAACCCAAAGGTTTTTCAGACAGACAAACCTGGGTTTCATGTCTAGCTCGAAGTGAATACAGCTTTAGTCCAGAATCTTCAACGTGAAAAGTAAAAGGCAGAAAAAGGGAACGGAAGGATGAGGAGAATAACAGGAGGGGGAAAAAATACGAGAGGAGTGTCAGAGGGGAAGGACGTGTCTGTGGAGGGTCGGACTGGATGTTTTTCGGGGAAAGGCTGAGGAAAGTGAGGGAGTCCATAACTTCGGGGGAGGTGGGATGTCTTCGGGGGAGTACTGAGATGAGGCGGGTCTCTGTGGAGGTAGAGGTCTTAGAAACAGTTTTCTCAGGAAATGAAGTCTCCGAGAGAGGCAGGAACTTCTAAATGGGTTCACCACATCTGCGGCAGAAGGTGTGAGGAGCTGGGGGAGGGGTGGGAAGCTGTCCCCGACTCTAAGAAAAGGAGAAGAGGTCAAGGAGTGTCCCCAGTCACTGAACTGAGGACTCTAGGAAGCGAAGGGGGTCCCGCCGGTGCGCTCTCGGCGTTACCTGAGGCGGGACTGAACAGCCAGAGGGATGCCTTCGCGGGCGGGAGCGGGAGGCAGCAGCAAAAGGGGGGCATAGTAGCCCTTACGACTCGGAGGCGGCAGCGGCTCCTTAGCCTGCCGAGGCGGTGGGGATCCCTTACACAGAAGCTGGCGATTCGGCGATGCTAGCGGCAGCGAACGACAAGGAGACTACTGCCATGGCCCGAGTCGGGCCGCTCACCCCGCCTGTTTGGCTGGGCCAGGAGGACGATCCCCCAGCCCCGAGCCACTGCGCGCCGGGAGCAGTGCTGGGCTCCCCGACAGCCAGCGACAGAAACGCCGTAGCTGGCGGACCGCGGAACTGGGGGCGGGGCTTCTACCGGCCAAGCCCCCTCCTCGAGCCCTTGCTCGGAGCAGTCAATCAATCATCATCTGGATAAACGAGCTAGAGGATTGTCCAATGAGCGTTAGGGATGCCACGTGGTGTGTGGCTGGGCACAATGGGCTTTCAGAAAAGCCAATCAAAAGTCCCAGGCGCCAACGCCAAAGAACCAAGGGAACCAATTGGAAGGAAGTGGAGGTTAAAAACAGAAGAGACAGTGTGTTGGTAAGGCGGAACGATACCTGGGGGAAACCCAAGCCCTGGAGCCGCTCAGAGGGCAGGACTGTAAATACAAAATTTACCAATCACAATGCCGAACCTGAAAGTGATAAAGTCAACTGAAAATGGATTCGAGTGCCCCGGCTACTGGAGTGGTGTATGTATGGCCGAGTAAGGACTGAGTAAGGAAAAGTCACGAACGCAGCGACCTACAGGATCACAGTGTTGTGGGACAACAGCGGGGAACTGATACATAAATATTAGCTACTTGAGAAAGTAAGAGCAATGGGTAGTTTCAACAAAATGCTTAAGGAGCAATTTCTCTAGGTAAGAGATTTGATTAGACGTTTTGGAGGACAGAATACGGAGCTGGCTTGAAAACAGGCTTTTGAAAGTAGGTAAGAAATAGGAAGTCAGCTATTCAACAGGCACGTATTTCCACGTGCCTTCTATGGGTGTCTGTGTAACAGGAGGCTTAATCTCTGCTTCAGTTCCTTCTTACACCTGGTCCTCTGGAATTTATAATCTCATGCCTGTGCAGACTGGAGCAAGACTAAATTTTGAGGGCAAGAGCAGGCAAAGAAACAGTGAGATATGAGCCTTCCCATAACAGCACTCCCAGGGTTAAAACCTCATTCCAAACATCTTTAGACTTGCCGCCTACTGGAAGGATCATGACAAGTAAGTGGGATTTGAGTAGCTGGAGTATAGGTGGTGTGTCTACCTGGTGGTGACAACAATGTTTAAGAAAGATATGCAGTACGAGATAAGAATGGAGAGGAAAAGTTGAATGTGGGCTGGGTTTATACCTATTCTTTTTTGTGCTGTGAGAGCTATTAATGACTCTACATCAGGGGAGTAGCCTTAACAAGGTGTGTTCTTAAAAAGTTTAATTGATAGCTCACTGGAAATTTGATGAGAGAGCAGCAGCAGGAGACCACCCTAGGAAAGTTCTTCCCTTTGGCCCAAAGCCTTTCTTTCCATCTATCTTTCTGGTATCAAGTCATGTGCTGCCACCTGGTGACAGTTCAAATACCATTGTTCTACATCGGTACAGATTTAATGTTTCTGACCAAGTCCTGACATGCTTGCATGACTCCCACAGAGACTGATGCAAAGTAGTTGAAAAGTAAGTAGAGTACAGGTAGCAAGTAGAACTCGATAATGTCATATGCAGCACCTACCCAGGAAAATAAAACAGGGCTTCCTTGAACTTGCTTCAGCAGACTATTTGAGCCTTCATGGGGAGTTTTATTTTGAACAGTTTCTTTGACCTGGGTCTGATCACCATTCTGGTATCATTAGGCTCCCTATGCTGAAAGAATGGAGGAATTCTTATTCAAGTGTCAAAGCCCATTCCTTATAATCTGCTCTAGTTAGGCCAGGGCCTTGAATGTAGCCATAAGTGGGAATGTTTCCTGCTCTACTCACTTCATCCTTTTGTTATGCTTTTATTCAAGAAACTGTCTCCTTTTTCCCAGCTAGACTGAGCTATGAACTGAGACTTATACATGAGTTCACTGTACATCATTTCTCAGTGTAAATACATACTGGGACTGGTAGGTATTCAGCTCAATAAACATCCACTGGCTGGACGAATGGAATTATCTTTCAGTTCTGTTTTGTAGTGCAAAGGACTTTATGAGACTCAGATGCAGCTACTTCAACAGAAATACCGGACTGGGGCCTCTTTGGTGGTCTAAGTGTTAAATCTCCAAGTGCTGTCACCACTACAGTCTAATCTTAAATTTGATCCCTGGTCAGGGAATTAACTCATATATGGCTCAGAAGATCTCTCCTCTCTCTGCCACTGCTCCCCTTAGCTGTGTATTTCAATCCACCTGTTCTGCTATCCACTCTTTCTCTGGTGAATCCTCTCACCCCCACCCCTGCATTTCTGGCCTACACCTCAGTTATTCCCTAAGTTAAACTTCCCTTAGTCTACCTGGAGAAGATACATTTTCCAAAAATCAGCAATCAAGTGGTGGAAGGATAGGAACCAATCGCCTCAGGCATTTTTTAAATATAATATAAAATAACAGAGGTATATGGCTCCTAGTAAGAACAAGTATTGAATCATGAAATTTTTGTTTTCATTGTATGTGTATTTTTGTTTTGTATAAGACTACAATGTACACTATATTTCTTACTAGAGGTCACACTCAAAAAATTCTTATGGTCCTCCCTGGTGGTGCAAGGAGTTAAGTCTCAGCACTATGAAGCCATCCACAGCCTCTGTAGCACTAGTTCGATCCTGGCCAGGGAGCTGATCCATGAGGTGCAGATTTCTCTTGCCTCACCAGCTGTTCCACTCAACAGTATATTTCAGTCAATCTACCTGTTCTGCTCCCCACTCTGTCTCTGTTGAATCCTTTCACACATACCCTCACACCTCTGGCTTACACCCCAGTTCTTGTATGCATAAATAAAAATAAATCTTTAAAAGCAAAACAAAACACCACAAATACACACCTAAGATTCCATCTTATTGAACCTGGGATTGAACCTTGGATCTGAGCCTCTCTGGAACAATGGGAGTCTCCAGAATCCAAGGCTGTTGAGCTTGGACTCCTAACTGGGGAGATAAGTGAGGCAAATGATGAGGGGAAATCCAGTCAGGTCGCCTGCTGAGGGACTAAGCAAAACCTGTGTATGTGTTGGGAAGGTGTGATGGGGAAAGACACATACATGTTTGTTCAGTAAAAGAAAGAGTTGGAATATGAATGCACTAGTACAAACACTGGGAAAAGACATCCGTTAAAAAGAGGAGGAGGTGTAGGGGAAAGCAGAGGGGTGGGCTGTGAAGGGGGACTGTAGAGGGAGGGAGGTTAAAAAATAGGGGGGGCGGGTAGTACCTGCAATAGCTGGGAATACAGCTGCTGCTACAAAAGAAACATGTATACAAGCCAATGATGTCTGAGAATCCCTAACTCACATCCCTAAACCTGGGCCCCAAGCACCACCTCACCTTAATCTGGGTCACGTTTCCATCAACAGCATTGAGAAGCTCATGGAGCTGCTCAGACCAGCTCAAGTTCCTACTCATATCACTTGTGGAGACTTATTCCCTGGAGTTTTGTATTCTTTTGTTACAGGGCAGGGAGAGAGTGGCACCACTGAACCCCCAAACCTGCCTACTCTAAATAGGTTCTGTCATCGGCCACATTAACACAAAACATTAAAGTACCTTTAGTGGAAAGGTACTTTAATACAATTAGTGTGCGATACAGAAAAGACAAAGAATATAGTTTCTAAATCAAACACCCAAAGTTACCCGTCCCCTCGGTGGGTAAAAGTCTACCCAAAAGGGATTGATCCCAAGCAAGGCCTGAAAGCTCACCACAAGTCTAAAGCACCTTCTGGCAGGAACCCATGAAAAAGTGTCAGAAATGGCCAGACAAGTCTGGGTGGAAAAGAGCAAAATCAAAACCAAGATAAACGCTGCCGTAGTCAACCTCACCACCGGTCTCTCACCCACATCTGTTGTAACCAGTCCAGGATCAAGAAACAAGACAAAACTTAACATGTCTCTCTGCTCCATGTGCCTCCCTCAGGTCTCCTGACTCCCTATCCCGCTTCCATCTTCAGTCTATTCTCTACATTCTTCTCCTCCCAGCTCAGCTCCACCCTCCTTCTGGGTGGTGTAAGGTACCTGGAACCTCCCCTTATCCTGGGGACCACCCGGTTACACTTTCTCTCCCAGGACAACCCCAGCACAGCCCAGGAAAGGACACATTTTCAAAAGAGGGGATTAGAAAGGTAGTATCAGGCCAAAATGCGCCTCTGGGACTAGCCAGGAGAGGAGCGCCTCGGAGAACTCGTGGGAAAGAAGGACACTCTGATACGCAGATTTGGTAGAAATTGAAAGTGCCCAATCGTGGGCGGGACCTCCCCAATTCAGCAAACGGGGATCAATCCGTCTCAATAAACCAGGACTACATACAAGTACGTCAGGTTCAAACACCGGGGAGAAGGGAAAATCCAACTTCCGACTGGATGCCCCAGTGCCGCTTGGGAAACTGAGTTCAGCTCTCGCCAAGACACCGCGAGGAGGATGGCAATGGAGGATGGTGAACTACATTTCCCGTAAAGCAACGCATGCACGCACGCACGCGCACACACACACATACACAGTGAGGCTTTCTGGGAAACCGAGTATTTCTGGCTCTGCAGGGGTTGTCGCTGAGGACCGAGTGAACTATGCATCCCAGAATGCAACACTATCCCAGGGCCGGTTTCAGCAGTTCTTGGGAAATAGAGTCCAAGCTACATTTGAAACTAAACGGCCAAGGTTACCCTTGAGACTCCATTCCCCAGCAAGCTCAGCGCTTAGTGCGCATTATGGAGCCGCAAGTCGCCGAATTGAAGCTGAAGATTGAGAACACGTTGTGCCCTTTTGGCTTCGAGGTTTACCCCTTCCAGGTTGGTTTATCCCTCCTGCGGTGCTAGGACTAAGTGTATGACTGACGTTGGTGCTACTCAAGTGTGCCGTGAGAGTGTTCAGAACCTGCTCGAGCTACTCTGGCCCGGTGTCCATCTGACCTACCCGGGGAGAGTGTCAACCGGTGATTTGGGTTTAAAAAGTAGGAAAGGGTCTCTAGCGAGTTAAAGCACAGCACTACGAAGCTCTCCGAAACCACTGCAACAAGAGTTTGACCCCCGGCCAGGGAGCTGACTCACATACTACAGATCTCTCCTGATCCGCCCCCTGCTCCCCTCAGCAGCATGTTTCAGTACATATGCATGTTCTGTGCCCCCACTCTGTCTCTGGTGAATCCTCACCTCCCCATCCCTCTGGCCTGTACCCCAATTTTGTAAGCATAAACAAACAGATCTCACCAGAAAAAAAAAAAAAAAGTAGAGAAGGGACCTTTCCTGGTGATTCAGGGGTTAAAGACAGTACTATCATGCTATCACCAACCACTGCAGCTACCTGTAAGCCAAGGAGCTGACCCACTGGCGCTGCAGACCGCTATTTTTGTCCGCTGCGCCCCTCAGCAATGTATCTCAATACATCTGGCTAGTTCTGCTCCCTAGTCTGTCTCTGGTGAATCCTCTCACTGACCTTGCACCTCTGGCCTGCACCCCAGTTCTTGTATGCATAAATAAATCTTTAAAAGAAGAGATGTGGTCACACATTTGTCCTTTTAGTCCCGTATAATTCCTACTGATAAATGGGAGACACTAGTTGATCCAGTAACCTTTTGACTTTATCACCAACATAATATACAGGAACCTGTGGAGCCAGATTCACTTTAGAAGCTTACTAAAGGAGTTAGCAGGGGGCAGGGCCTGAGAGGTTTGCATAATTCGAATTTAGGTAATTCAGGAGGAAAGGGCATTCTTGGTCTTGTAAGAGCAAACAATTGACTGGTTTCTTCCATCCACCAATAGGCTATAATTAATTGTTTTCAATTATACCAGTTTGCTGGGAAAATTGAATTTTCCTGACATAATTCTGGCACTACCACCTACTGGGGCTTACTTACGTGGGCCAGTTTCCAGCCTTACCCTGCACTGAGCTAAATGCTTGGACAGGAGGCTCATTTTAAATCCTTATACTGGGCCTCCCTAGTGGCACAAGGGGTTAAGATGCAGCACTATGATGCTATTCACAGCCACTAAGGCACAAGTTTGATTCCTGACCAAGGAGGTGAACCACGTGGTACAGCAGACCTCTCCTGTCTCACCTGCTGTTCCCCTCAGCAGTGTATTTCTGTCAATCTGCCTGTTCTGCTCCCCATTCTATCTTTAGTGAATCCTCTCACCCCCTGCACCTCTGGCCTATATCCCAGTTTAGAATACCCTCTATTTAGAATACACACCAAATTCTCCCTCCTTCATCAGTCTGTCATTTTCCTTCCCAGCCATCAAGATTCGGCTTCCAAGAAGCCTTTTCTAATTTCAGAGGACCTTCATCTGGCATGTCATTGTACTAAAGGCAGTACAATTTATTTTTGTTGTTCTTGCATTTCTGCCGCTCTAAATTCTGTCAAATTCAAACAAGTCTGACTGTACATACATCACTAGAGTATCAGTGAAAAGTCATTGATTAATCAGATGAAGGCTAGCGCAAGTTGTGAAAAGCCTTGAATGCCATGCTAAGATCTTGGCCTGGCTGAAACCCAATTTGACCCTCCAGCATCACCTAATTCTCTGTTCCAGGTGGCATGGTACAATGCATTGTTACCTCCAGCCTTCCACTTGCCCCTCCCAGGACCTACCTTGGCCTTCCTGGTACTCAGCACACCTGCCATGTTTGACCGGGCCCTCAAGCCCTTCCTGCAGAGCTGCCACTTCCAACCATTGACTGATCCTGTGGACCAGTGTGTGGCCTACCACTTGGGACGAGTTAGAGAGGTAAGCAAAGCTCATATCCTCCAACTTCCAATCCTGTAGCAGTTTCCAGCTCTTCCAAGCTCAGTGTTGTCTATAAATCTACCTAGAGCCACTTCCCAGTTAGGATGCCCTAACAATACCAGCTTTGACATTGTACTACGACGTCATTCTTCCTTCTCATTCCAGGTTCCATCATCTTGTCTAGCAGCTTTCAGGTCTGAAATCACCCTACACCAATAGGCAACTTTTATGAACCTTAGACCAAACTTTCCTTGGTTTCCAAGTGAAATTGGAAATAAGCCCGATACCCTCAGATCTCACTCACCTCTCTGCCCTACAGCTAGAAGCTTTATGCCCTCTTTGGGGATTTTTGACAGAACAGATCTCCAGCATACTCACTTAGGTATATACACATATACTGGACCTCCTAGGTCTTCCTCCCTTGACTTGGGGGTACAGAGCCATGTCACTCCTCATGACGGAGGTTTTGGAACAAGACCTTGTGTGCTTCCCTTCAAATACAGTCCCTCCTGGACAGGGTATTATTTTCTTCCTCACACTAGCACCCCACCACCATCACCACCACCAAGTTTAAAGTTGTATTTAACCTTTGTATGTGACCAGATGATAAGACCATGTCAACACAATTAGGGCCCTCTAGGACAAGGTCAGGATTCCATTCATACAAAGCCTCCATTTTGTACTGTGTCCCAGAGCCTCCCAGAACTACAAATGGAAGTTATTGCTGACTATGAAGTACACCCCAACCGGCGACCCAAGATTCTGGCCCAGACAGCAGCACATGTGGCAGGGGCTGCATACTACTACCAACGACAGGATGTGGAGGCTGACCCTTGGGGAACCCAGGTCAGAGGGCAAGTGTGAATGAGTAGGAGCTGAAAGTGAAGCTTCCCACTTCATTCCACCTTCCCTGGTTTTATTGGTGAAACTTCCAGGACCAAAAATGTGCCCTGGTCAACTCTGGGCCCACACACCTTCTGGCATCTTGCTGGGGACAAATGAGGCTAAAGAACCTGGTCAGTTCTTAAAGCCCTGTTGTTGATGGAAGGAGCAGTGAATGAGACTACCAGGGGTGAGACAGCTGAGGCTCAGTGTACGTAATGGGGGAAGGTACAGTCATTGGATTAAAAGGTTCTCACATGTACTGGTATCTATTATAGTGAGAAGTGAACAAGTCTGGCTTACAGTGATGGTAGTTGGACTTGTGCCAAGGTGACCTCCATGACCTTACTTTTCTTTACCCTCTCCTCAGCACGTATCAGGTGTATGTATACATCCCCGGTTTGGGGGCTGGTTTGCCATCCGGGGGGTGGTGCTGCTGCCAGGAATACAGGTGCCAGATCTGCTACCCACAGAGCCCCTCGACTGTGTACCGGAAAGAGCTGACAGAATCACCCTGCTTGAAGGTTTCAACTTCCACTGGCGAGACTGGACTTACCGGGATGTTGTGACACCCCAAGAGCGCTACTCTGAAGAGCAGAAGGCCTACTTTTCCACTCCACCTGCCCAACGCTTGGCCTTATTAGGCTTAGTTCAGCCCTCTGAGCCATGCCCTGCATCCCCTGAACTTCCCTTTACCACACTCACACCTAAGAAACCTCAGAATCCCAGCAGAACTGGGGGCTGGCTCAACCCAGAAGACTCACCACCTGAATCTGCCAGCCCTTGAACTTCCCTCCCTTATGGGAACTTTATTTATTTAGAATAGTGGTACTAGGACTTACTTGGCTTACATATAGCTTATAACCAAATTTTAGTTTGGGTACAAAAGGATTATTTTTGATGTAATAGATATCTCCAATGAAGGTTCACAGTAGTTTGGTTAAGAAATCTAAAACCAAAGGCAAATCTAAAATTTCCAGCTGCTTCAAAATACTGCAGTGCCTCCCTGGCATAAGGGTTTAAAGCAAAGCACCGTGAAGGTAGCCACAGCCACTGTAGCACAAATTCAATCCCTGAATTTGAGAAGATAAACCACATGGTATAGCAGACCTCTCCTGTCTCTCCAGCTGCACCCCCTTGTCAGTCTATTTCTGTCAATCCACTTCACTCCTATTGTCTTTGATGAATCCTCTCATCATCCCCACCTCTAGCCTGTACCCCAGTTCTTATATGCATAAATAAATCTTTTAAAATATATATACACATATAGCACGACTATTAATTTCTTCAGTGTTCTTTAGAAACACTACTTGTTACCAGGTATAAGAGGAAATCATCTCCTAAATACCAGTATCTGACTTAGAGTTGTTGAGTAATAGATATAAAGAGCACTTTTAAAACTGTTTCCATAGCCTCTGCCTGCAATTACTGAATGCCTTGGGAAGCCTGTGCTACTACTTGGAGCTCTGAATAATGGAGATTATGGGGAAGTTGGGGTAGTAGCATTCTGAATTTATCCTGGCCCCCTCTAGACCCCAAGAAGAATCCACCTTCTCCCCATTGACAACCTCCCTTGGAATAGTATGAACGATGGCTAAGGAAAGAACCACCCTCAAATAAAGGCTAAAACATGGAAAGCTGACACATGTTCAGCACTGTGCTTTTGCTACTTTAAAAGCCCTTCCCAAGGTCAACAGTCCTGTCTTACCACCACCCACATCCCCACCTTTCAGTCTCAAAGGTATTATTAGTCTCTAATATCTTTCACCATTATTGACACTTATCAGAAATTTCAAGCTTCTGAGTCTCACACAGCCATCCCAGTAGTGAAAGGTAAACAAATAGTGAAATTTCTCTCTGGGACCTTTACCTGCAATGCAATCCAGCTGATATCACCAACTGCACTCCCTTTAGAAATAATATAGCACATCTTGCTCTTCTCCCCCAAATGAAATGAAATAAAATGTTAACATCTTGGTTAATGTTAAATGTTAATGTTAACAGTTAACATCCACTGCCTGGAACTATATGCATGTTCCCTCAATTGGACATCCTGATTGAAACAGGCCTTATTTTTCATTATTTCCTCTAAAGAGGGAAAACAGTAAGTTCCTCTTAAAATTAAATGCTAATAATGCCCATTAATACGAAAAAAATCAACAGAGTTTCAGTTCAAGTTTAATAGAAACTACAAAAGATCAAAAGTGATGACTCATTACTATACATAACAGTTAGCCAACCCCACAGAACAACTAAGGCCCATCTCTCCAAGGGAAGAAAGACTGGCCTCCCAACCCCTGAAGGGAGACGTATCCTGCCCTATATGTTAGCTGAGTCGAAGGTCTTGTGTTGTAAGCATTGATAATAGTAACAAGAAGTTTGGTTCTTAGAACTGCTCAATGCAACCCTGGCTCTAAAAATGGTCCAGGGCTCACTTCTGCTTAGCGAAGTATTCTTTGCTCTTCTGGACATCAGGCTTGATGGTATCACTACCAGGTTTCCAGCCAGCTGGACACACTGAAAAAGAAAGATACCACTTAATTAGATTCTTTCAAGATAATGGTAGGGCTGGGGGAGGGAGAAGTTGGGACGAACAGACTTCGTGACCTTGTATATTTTTAAATGATATCACAAGCACAAAGAAAAAAACTTTACCTCAAGAAAGATACAAAATGAGAAAATAAAGAACTCCCACAGTTCAACAAAAGACAAACTAGTAAAATGGGCAAAAGACTTGAATAAACACTTCTTCAAAGACACAAATGGTCAATAAGCATTTAGCAGTATATTCAATATCATTGTCATTAGGGAAATGAAGATCAAAACCAATTAGGATCCACCATCTACCCACTGTATTGGTGGCTCTAGTTTGACCTAGCAGCATTATTCACAATACCCACAAAGGGAGCAACAACCCTGCGTCCTCAATTTATAACACAATGAATATGACTGAGCCTTAAAAAATGAAGTTCTGATATATGACAAAATGGACAAATACTTTTTTTCAAATACCTTTCTAACCTGCAATAACTAGAATAGGCAAATTCATAGATTAATTTCATCATTCAGATGATGAAAAATCCAACAGTTGCATACCACCATGCATGTAACTAATGCTACTAAATTATATGCTTAAAATGGTAAATTTTGCTATACAATAAAGATAACTTAAAATGACTGTCCAAGGTAAAAAAATAAGCTAAGTAGGGCCCTCCCTGGTGGTGCAGTGGGTTAAACCACAGCACTAAGAAACTTAAGCCACATCCGCATGAGTTCTATCCCCACCTGCCCCCAGGAGATCCACATGGCGTGGCAGACCTCTCCTGACCCGCCCGCTGCTCCCCTCAGCAGTGTACTTCGTCCATCTGCCTGTTCTGCTCCCCACTCTGTCCCTGGTGAATCCTCTCACCCTCTGCATCTCTGGCCTATACCCCAGTTCTGTATGAATAAATAAATCTTAAAAAAAAAAAAAAAAGCTAAGTAAATGACAAGTTTGGACTGTGTAAACCAGTAACACTAAGCCGCCTCTTCTCTGAGAAAGCAGCAACCATTTCATCTCTCCTCAGTGTTACTGCCAAAATATACAACCTTCACAATGTGACAGGACTGCCACAGAAGGCCATGCTTGTTTCACTAAGTAAATGCTTTCTACCTCTTAGAAGTAAAAGATCTGAAACTTTGTATTAAATATTTCATCATCTTATACAAGAAGAATTATCTTCAACCATTTCCTAATATCCTGAGCTAGGAATGCCTCCATGAACTAACCTAAGAGAGGCAAAGCAACCAACCATTAACCTTTGCTGTCTGTCCTCTAATAAAGGAGCAAAGTCCTTGTATAAGAGACAGGAAGCCCCTTTTATTCAGTGTCACAGCCTCAAATGTCAGGCTCTGCAGAGCTGCCCAGAACAAGGAACTGATAGAGTAAATGCTATATGGCAGACCCAGCTGCCATTACCTCCCTGAAGTCTGTTATATAGTTACTTGCTTTGATGGTTAAAAGAAGGCTTTGGTGGTTAAGTAAATGTCATAAACATAAACAAAGAGCAGTGTAAAGGCAAAACTGACCAGTCAGTCAAAAGTTTGACAATAAATTCTAATAGAACAAAAGAGATTCCTCCATCTAGGAAGGAAACACTACTTAAGAACAGCACAACTTTAAATTGGGACAATGAAAGAATAATGAAGCAGCAAGAAGGACCTTGCCAATTTAAAACTCCTTGGCACTAGGGCTTCATTGCACTTACAACTATGATATAACTCAATACAAAAGGCCCTAAATAATGCCTTTATTATTTTAATTACCAAAAAAAAGGGAAGACACTGAATTTGGATCCAAGTTCTAACACAATTAACAAATATTGTGTTTAAAAGTATGGGTACTATATCTTATACAATGTACTTTGTATTAATAGACTCTCTAGTGCCTTTTCTAAAAAAGATTTATTTATTTATGCATACAAAACTGGTGGGGTACAGGCAGAGGTGGAAGGGCAGTAAGAAAATCAAAGACAGAGTGGGGTGCAGAACAGGCAGACTGACGAAGTACACTGCTGAGGGAAATAGCTGGTGAGACAGAAGGTCTGCTGCGCCATTTGGGTCCCCTCCCTAGCTGGGGATTGAGCTCACACTGATGTGCTGTAGCTAGCTTCAAAGTACTGTGCTTTTAAGCTGTTGAGCCACAAGGGAGGGTCCCAGACTAGTCTCTAGTGTTACCCATCAAATTGTAATTTATAAAAGGATCCACACAGAAAGCAATGACTGATCTAATGGGATGAAAAGCAGCACAGACCAAACGATTCTAAAGAAGCAAGCCTCATAGAATCATGAAAATTTAGGTTCAACAGCCAAGTATCTATGCAGGATCCTAGGAAAATTGCCTTCATGCCTTGGTTTCTAGTCTTTGTACCAAACAAGATATCCCACCAGGGGGCAGTATCAGCAACTGTCTGCCCTTTAATGCAGCAAAGTAAAGACTTGCAAATGGTGATGGCTTTTTTTTTTTTTAAGATTTATTTTATTGGGACGTTGTTGGTGGCAAAGGGGTGAAAATTTTAGTGCTATCAAGTTATCAGCCACTGTAGCACAAATTAAATCCCGGCCAAGAAGCTAACCCACAAGGTATAGCAGACCCCTGTCTAGATGGCTGCTCCTATCAACACTGTTATTTCAGAAAATACACCTGTTCTGCTCCCCACTCCACCTCTGATGAATCCTCACAGCTCTTATATGCATAAATAAAAATAAATCTTAAAAAACCTTTCCCTACATACACAGCACTTGCCTCAAGAGTCCTTAAAACTAAAAGGGTAGCATTCTATTTCAGCGACTGTACTTCAGAGCTTTACAATTCAAAAAGCTGGCGTCAAGTGGTTCGGGAAAAGGCTCTACCTACAATCTAGCAAATGTTAGATAAAAAACAAGTTGAATTTGCCTCTCATATTTAGGTTTTAGAAGGACAGACTTATAAAAACATGTCTTTGAGCCTGACACCTCCTCCAATAAAGAACCGTGGGTTTGTTTAAATTATTATTTAAAAAAAGATTTTATTTACTTATTCCTGTATAGAAAAGCTAGGGTGTAGGCCAGAGGTGGGAGGTGAGGAAGAGGAGAGCCAACACCAGCAGCAAAGTAGAGAACAGAACAGAAAAATATACAGGAATATACAGGGAATAGTGGGCGAGAAAAGAGAGGTATGCTGGCCGTGTATGTCATCTCCATGGTAGGGATCAAACTCACGCTGCAGTGGCTGCTGGTAGCTTCATAGTGCTAATACTTAACCCCCTGCACCACCAGGGAGAGGTCCAGAAGAACCTTGATCTTTTTCATCTGATCCCTCTAGCCCTAATACCACCTCCTCAAAAAAGCTCTGTACAAAATCAGAGTGAGGTATCTCCTCACACCAGAAAGGCCCATATTAAAAAAAACAACAACAGGCCCTCCCTGTTGGCGCAGCGGGTTAAAGCACAGCACTGAGAATCTGAAGCCACTTCCGCATGAGTTCGATTCCCGCCTGCCCCGTGCCCCGGAGGAGACCACATGGCGAGCCAGACCTCTCCTGACCCGCCCGCTGCTTCCCTCAGCAGTGTACTTCGTAGATCTGCCTGTTCTGCTCCCCACTCTGTCTCTGGTGAAGCTTCTCACCGCCCCTGAGCCTCTGGCCTGTACCCCAGTTCTATATGCACAAATAAATAAATCTTTAAAAAAAAATAAAAAAAAAAACAACAACAAATGCTGGTGAGGGTGTGGAGAAAAAGAAACTTTTAGGCTTGCAGGAATGCAAACTAGTCCAACCACTATGGAAAATTGTGTGAAGGACCTCAAACTACTAAAAATAGATCTACCGTATGACCCAGCAATTCTACCCCAGGCATATACTCAAAGGACACAAAATCACTAATTCAAAAGGAAACTTGTACTCTTATGTTCACTGCAACACTATTTATAGTAACTAAGATATGGAAATAACCTAAATAAACAGATGTCTAAATCAAGATGAATATACACAGAATAGAATACTACTTAGAAATCAAAAAAGATAAACTCATGCCATTCCCAGCAACATCGATGAAGCTAGAAGGAATTATGCTCAGTGAAACAAAAATATCAAGTGGTTTCACTTACAGGAAGTAAATAAGGAAACCAATCAAGGGATAGAGAAAGGAAAAAACAACTACTAGCAGGCAAACTATACACCAGAAACATACAACAGGAGCGGGGGAAGGAGAGGGTCAAAACAGAAGGGAAAAGCACGAGACACTATGGTAAAAGCTCTCAGATGACTTGGTAGTGCGAATTTTAAAAGGGTTTACATCTGAAGGGAAAAAACAAACATACAAAAATATACAACAATGTAAAATATCTATTCAAATAAATATATTTTAAAATATAAAAAATACAAAAAAATATGAAATTTTGTCTTTGACAACTGTTGTGAAAGCTGTAACTACAACAGATAATTAAAAAACAAGTTTGTACTCTACCTAGCTATTCTGTCTGGATAATTAATCTTAGTCCTATTTTTCCCCCCACATTTCAAGCTGGTCATATAAAACCATCTTTATTTTTAAACCCCAATGAAATAAATATGGATTCTAGAAACTAAAGCTCTTCTACCAATTAACTCTTGTCTACCATGACATGCATTTATGTCTAGATGTGATTCTTTATCCTTTGTCTTGACTTTATATACTCTCCTTTAATAGTGTATTTAAAATATGAGCAGGGTAAAGCTGAGAATATGCAACTGAAACAAAAAGTTTTTTCATTACCCCACCCCCACAACCCACTACAATTCCACTTCAACTTCATGAACATGAATAATCACCCTTTTCTTACTTATTTGATAAGATTCTGTTCTACCATTTCCCCTACCACCATTCTATTGTACTGTCACCAAGCAGACTGGCTTGCTTACTTACCTTCACCATGTTTGTCAGTGAACTGGAAGGCCTGAACTAGCCTGAGAGTCTCATCCACAGAGCGGCCAACAGGGAGGTCATTCACAGTGATCTGACGAAGGATACCCTTATCGTCAATGATAAAAAGGCCCCTGGGAAAATGATTGAAGGTTTGAGTAAAACATAATACAAGATTTAGAAACTGATTTGTCAGGATAAAGAAACAATGGAAATGAGCTGATCTTCCAGATTTACACTGATAGAAGAGTAAACCTCCGTAAAGAATTAAAGAGGAGTCTCCAAGGTCCTAGCCACTGATAATTCTCCTGATGAATTTCAGCCACCCAACACATATATACCTGAATGAGATGCCTTCATCAGCCTTTAGAACCCCATAATCCTGAGCAATGGCACGCTTGGGGTCTGACACCAAGGGGATGTTCATGGGTCCTAGTCCTCCTTGTTTCTTAGGTGTGTTGATCCTACAATAAAATGCAAATATAATCACATTCATTCAAACTCCTGTGTAATAAAAGTATCAACAATATTTGTTCCCTCCCCATCAACACTTTTAATCTTATTTTCCCAGAAAATTTCAAACATTTTCCAGCAGTAAAGTAAATGGCTACAACAGTTAAGGTCATCAGGGTACACTCAACTGCAGTTGCTGTTTCTGTTTCTAGATAAGAAATCTAAGAGGAGATCAGCATTTACACTCCTATGAAGACCCAAATGTTTATATTTAAGAAATTCTATTTACCACTCCTCCCAGTTGCTGCTTAACTTAAATAAGAATAAATCGATTTCAATAAAACAAGAAATTTTACCATGCCAAGTGACAGAAGTGAGAATCCACAGAAGCACCAATCACTTGGCAGTTGAGTTTCTTAAATTCTTCTGCTCTGTCACTGAAAGCAATGATCTCCGTGGGGCACACAAAAGTGAAATCAAGAGGATAAAAGAAGAACACAACATATTTTCCTGTAAGAAAAAGAGCCAGTTTGTCTTTGCTTATCAGAATGAAAAACTGAAGACATTTTCTTACAGAAACTGATCTTTAAAAAGTTGATAGCAGGACCTTCCATTGTGGTATAACAGGTTAAAGCACAGCACCATGAAGCTATCACAGCATCATGCATTCAATTCCCAGTCAGGGAGCTGACCCATCTGGCACAGCAGACCTCTCCTGCCTAGTGTCTAGTCTGCTGTATATTTCAGTACATCTACCTGTTCTGCTCCTCACTGTCACTGGTGAATCCTCTTACCCACTGCATCTCTGGTCTGTATCCCAATTCTGTATGCATAAATAAATAAATCATAATTTTTTCAAGATTTTATTAATTTATGCATACAGAACTGGGGTGCAGGCCAAAGGTGCAGGGGTGGTGAGAGGATTCACCAGAGACAGAGTGGGGAGCAGAACAGGCAGACTGACAAAGTACACTGCTGAGGGGAGCAGTGGTTGGGTCAGGAGATGTCTGCCATGCCATGTGGATCACCTCTGGGTCTGGAGATTGAACTCACACTGAAGCATCTGTGGCTAGCTTGCAGTGCTATACTTTAACCTGCTGCACCACCAGGGAGGGCACCAAATAAATAAATTAAAAAAAAAAAAAAAAGTTGGGAGCAGACACAAATGCTAAATGCCAAAATGCTCAAACCATAACTATCTCCCAAAGGCTGCTTTTAAAAAGCCTATTTGCAGCAGATACATGCTTTGAATCTACACATCAAACATTCAACTACAGAATGAACACTATTCACTCTGCTCTAATTAAGAAAAAGCAAATGCAAGAATGTTATTATCTATGGAGAGCCTAATCCCAATGGTTTTACAATCAGTGCCCAGAAAATTTAATTGCTTGATTCTCTGCTGCAAGGCAAAAAAAAAACCAACAAGGGAAGAAACCAAGAGCACTTTTTCCAATGTACCACAGTAATGCAACTAAATCACCTGAATAACCATAAATATGTTCTAATATCTTGACAAATCAAAATAAGCTGCTTTAGATACTCACTTTGAAAATCATAATCAACAGAAATTCATATATATATCAACAAACTCCCCTAGCAAACACTCTGAAGCCTCAGCAGGTCAAATCCTGAAGGGCAAAAAGCAACACACCAAACTCATGCCATTAAGCCCTCAGAGCCAGGGTCACTTCCCCATAGTGCTACTACTCTGAGGAACAGCTTCTCTCTATAGGACCCTACTTGTTCTCAATACAAGGACTGTGATAATGTTAGGAAACTTAGTCACAAGCTCTACCCAAGAAAGGTATAGTAGACACTGGAGTTTCAGGTTGCATTTAAGGAATTTATAGCCTCTCAAGTATCTCAGAAGATCTTTTGGTTCTGGGACTTATGGCAAAATAAAAGACATGTTAAAACTTGTCAAGTGTCTACATGAAACTAGAACAGAAAGCTGTTCCAACTATGACATCATCTCTCCTCTAAAAACAAAACAGTCATGAGAGTGTGTCTAAGCCCTCTGCCTAATAATGTAGCTGTGATACATATTATTTCATAAACTGAATTGAACATGCAGTGTCACAACGCCAAAGGCCTGAATTCTAAGTAATACACAGCACAGTGACTATAATCAAGAATACAACTTTGAGGCCCTCCCTATGAGTGCAGCACTATAAGCTATCCACAGAGTTTTATCCCCAGCCAGGGGGTGACCCTCATAGTGTGGCAGACCTCTCTTGACCCACCCACTACTCCCCTCAGCAGTGTATTTCAGTAGATCTGCCTGTTTTGATTCAGACTTCTAAATCTGAAAGTTACTAACAAAAGATGGAAAGCAGGGCGCTCCCTGGAGGCGCAGAGGGCTGGAGCACAGCACTAAGATGCTAAAGCCACTTCTGCATGAGTTCGATCCCCACCCCAGAGGTGATTCACATGGTGTGACAGATCTCTCCTGACCCGCCCGCTGCTCCCCTCAGCAGTGAGCAGGTTAGGAGAGGTCTGCCAAGCCATGGAAATCACCCCCTTGGCCAGGATTTAAACTCACATTGGGCTTCACAGTGCGGCACTTTAACCTGTTGCACCATCAAGGAGGGTGCTATACTTTAATTTAAAAAAAGAAAAAATTAGTTTCTGAGACTTTAGATTCTGGAAGATCCCTGAAAACAAGTAATATCTCCATTAAGTTTATAATTAAATACTAAAGAAGATAGTTGAAAAGCAATATAAAGCACATGCTTTCTCTAGAATTAGTCTGGACTAATATCTACTGTTGATAATGTAGATGATAATCACTTCAACAGAAGCCAGGTCTTCTATCTGAAGACCTTGACCTGGGAGACACAAATCATTTTACAGCCAGTTATGGAAATCTAAGAAGCCATACCTAGATTATACATTAATTCCATTTTAATAAGCCTAACATAGTCTTACCTTTGTAGTCAGACAAGCTGACATCTTTGAATTGACCATCTGGCATAACAGCTGTAGCTTTGAAGTTGGGGGCAGGATGCCCAATTTTGGCATTTCCTGAAGACATCTTGCTATCAGCTGTAAAAGATTAAAGGTAAGTTAAAAACAGCCTTATTTTTCTAGAGACTCAGGGTTAGGACATTAAGCAACTGTCCAGTAGCACTTCCAAGTACCTTAATAGGAAAAGAGAACAAGTTGAGCTTTCCAACTTTGAAACAAACTTAAATATACAGGTCTCTGTGTTTTCATTTAAAAGCAATTTATTTTATCAACTGAAATCTCTTATCACTTCTGTGCAATGGCATTTTGTTCTGTATTTCCATTTTATAGAAAGGGAGGACAGGGGACTACAGACTCTAAAACCAGAACCCAAATGCAAGATGCAGGAAATACTGAATGCCTAGCTCCCTAGAGTAGTCATTCTTCCTCCCTTCTGTGCCTCTACCTACCCTCACAATAATGTGAAGCACACTGGACTTTTTCTCCAGGTAAGTATGCTTCTTGAGCCTACAACTTGAAATCCACCCAACTTTTTAAGGCTAAACCAGGATTCTACCACCTTCACAATTTCAAAACTGGTATTGTATTTCAGCCCTTAGAAGTCCTTTCAAAAATGCATTTTTGACCTCGAGGCTAAAATCCTGAGGCAAGAGTACAAACCCAATTTGTTACTATTACGCAATGTTGCATTTTACGCGCCTAGGTGAACAAGATAAGGAATTAAGATTGAACCCAGTAAGATTTTCACAGGTTTGAAAATCCAAAACAAATGTACTTCCAAAGTCCCAACATTTTGTTGTTAATACAGCAAAAAGGTTGTCAGCATGGATCGGAACAAATTTTTACTGCTTAACAACAACAACAAAAACCCCATCAATCAGTAACTTGCGTTGCAACTTGGCAAAAACTACCTGAGTCCTTTAACAAAAATGGTCTTCCCACATAAACCCACTTTGCCGGGTGTCTTCCAAGTCCACGAGAGCTCCACCAACCAAGCGGAAAGGCTGCCGGACTCCCAGAAGAGCGGTTTCTCAGGCAAACTGCCCAAGAATTTCTCACACGAAGGCAACGCCCCCAAACACCACTTCTGGTACCCTCGCGGCCACCCCCACCCTAGCGCTTCAGAAAGCACCAGCAGAGTGCGCAGCGCTCAGTGGGGGCACTTGAGTCGCCACAAGCCTCGTCCTGAAGCCGGAAGAACAAAGACGAGTAATAAATCTTAGCACCCCAAGTTCCACAGCTAGTCACGGCTCAGGGCACAATTGCCACGAAACCCTACCACAAGACGTACGGGTAGCCCCCAGCGAATTTCCAGGTCCATTCTAGAAGTTTCCTGGCCCCTCCCAGTCCAACATATCCGTCGAGGAGATACCAGCCCCCCGCACCGCCACCCCAAGCCACTCAGCTGCTGTGCGCGCGCTGCGGAAGAGAAATGGAAACCCGAGTCGACGGTAGCCTCGGGCCTCAACAGGTCTTGGTACCCACAGAGGCCCGACTGGACAGTGCGCAACTGCCTGCATACTCTCGGGCGCCAGGCCCCGCCCGGCCGCCCCTCCCGTCCCAGCACCCCTAATCGAGAAGCGCAGGAGCCGAGGAAGGGAAGGGGTGCAGAGGGGTGGGGGGTACGCCGGTCCGCAGAGGCCGCGCTGCTGCCCGTACACTCACCAGCTCCAAAACAAGGACCACGGCGAAGAAGTCTGGAGGAAGCGCGAAGCCCGCGTGAGGCGCCGCTTTTATAGCTTCGAGCGCTCTCGCGAGAGTCGGAGGGCCTGGGGCGCGTGAGGAGAGAGGAGGGGGGGATCTGGCTCGAGCCGCGCCCGGAGCCGACGCGCCCCACCGAATGACTCAGCGTTTTTCCTAGCTGGGGGCGGGAAGTGCTGCTCCCCGTCGTGGACCGTTGAGAGCTGGGATGAGGCATCCACTAGACCCTATACCAAACCTAAAGCTTCGATTAAACCGTGATCTTTGGGGGCGGCCCTGCGTGCGGGGCCTGTAGGCCCAAAACGGTAAGGATGGTCGCTGCTCACCACCGAGCGCCACGTCCACCCGCAACAGTCCTGAGATCAGTCTGTCCAAAATTTTCTCAGATATCCCCAGGTCCTGGCCCTCTGCCCGAATGAGCCTCAATAACCTTCACCGCTTAGATATCTTCCTTCATTGCTTTATCGAGTACAGGGTTGCGTCTTCCTTTTCCCGCCATCCCTTCCACTACAGCTAGAGGGACTAAGAAATCTGATCAGGCCACTCCTCTGATTTGTGAATAAAAAACTGGGGCTCTGTCGTCCATTTCCTGAGTTAAAATGCCTCACTGTGATTTCTGTGTGGGCTTTAGGCAAGAATTAGCTTCTCACCTTAAAATGGGAAACTATTCTTTATTGAGATTACTTTTGCAGCATTTAACACAGTACCTAGTTCTTATAAAATGTTAGTTATTATTTTTGCTATAATTCTTCCTTGTTCCTCGAATTTAACACCCAGAAATGTGTGCAGCTGTTCAACGCAGGCTTTTTTGTTCAAACGTGGAGAACCTGTTCCCTCCTAGTTGACTTAGAGAAAAAGTCTTTAAAGACACCTGAGGCATTACTTCCTCTGAAACTATTCTTTCACACAACCTTAACGGTGACCATTCCCTCAAACAATAGCATATAAATATATATATATATATATATATATATATATATATACTTTCAAGCTAGTGTGCTTATTTACAGGTCTGTTCCTCCTTGCTAGACTGGCTTTATGTCATGTGCATCTCTGTGTCCCCAAATTATAACAGAGCACCTGACACAAAAATGTATTAAATGTTACTTAATAAATAGTATTAATGTGCCTTTTCCTGGCTCCACCACCCACATTATCCTACTAACTCCATTAGGTCTTATAAGCAGGATAAGAAATGGAGAAGTGCTATGTCATGCTGAGTGAACATCTGACAATTTTTTTAGTATTTATCATCCTACCTTGCAACAGCAATGATTTTTTTTTTTTCCTTCTCTGCTTGAAGCTGAATGGCTACTTGTATTACTCATTTCCTTCTTGAAGAGGAAGGGGAGAGGTAGGTCAGAGTTTAATATTGGATAGTTATTGCTATGGGCAATAAATCAACAACACAGAGATCTACTTCAGCCAGAAGAATATTACCATGTATTTTATCTATGATGTGCCAGTCCATGGTTTGAGCACTTGGAGTTGTCTGTCTCATTTGTCTCAAAAGGGGGCCTCCCTGGTGAGGAGAGGTTAAGTATGAGCACTATCATGCTATCAATTCTGAGGCCTGAGTTCTATCCCCAGCCTGGGAGCTAACCCATATGGCATAGCAAACCTCCCTATTTCACTAGCTGTTCCCCTTGGTGGTGTATTTCAGTAGATTTGCCTGTTCTGCTCCTACTCTGTCTCTGGTGAATCTTCTCACTCCCACCCCTAGCACCTCTGGCCTACACCCCAGTTCTTATATGGATAAATAAGTAAAAATAACTTCAAAAAAATAAAAGAACTAAATGGGTTATTCTGGCCCAGGGAAATGTTAGCAACCTATCCCTGTGCAAATATAAAAATTATTGGATAGAGTTCTAAAAAGAAAAGAAATCTGTTAAGGGGAAGGATGCCTTAAAGGAACTCGCTGAGTACTCTTCAACACTTGTCTAAGTAAGTGATAGAAGTTTCCCCAGATAATATCATTTAAGAAATGACAAGGGAGCTTTCTCCTTTACCCTTCTACAGAATTTGGTAATACCCCTACTTGCATTTTTACACCGATCCCATTGTTTTGCAGTGATCTGGGGAGGACTTTTTTCTATTTTACTTTCTTTTCAGTACTAGAAGCTAACACAGAACTGGTCTATGCGAAATGCTTACTTAATATTGTAATATACTGAAGATTTTTGAGATTAGCTTTAACTTGTTTTAACTATTTTAGGAAGATGATTCCCACAGCTGTTTGACAGAGACCATCTAATGAGTAGGCTGCAAGAAGTAAAAAGACCAATTGGAAAGCCACTGCATATGACATTGGAAGCAGGATGGAAAGGAGATTTCTACAGGCATTAGGGTTAATTATATTCAGGATTAGAGGAAAGAAGGAATTCAATTTTAATTCCCTTGGTTTCTTAGTTACATGAAAGTAATGTCTTTAACCAATGACAGAAAATATTGGAGAAGCATGTGAGGTTAAAAATACAGATGATTCACTTACCAGAAGATTTTCAGTAAATTGTCCAAAGTTACATAATAGATTTTGGGGTCAGTGCCATCCCAGGCAGCAGAGCCATCATGTTATAGAATATGCAAATGTGATATTCATCTAGACTAGTATGAAGGTTGCCCCCTAGAGTTGTGCCTTACAGTGGTCTGATCACACTGAATGACTCCAGTCTACCCTACTATTGACTCCTTTCCTAAGGGAGAAGATGGTGAGTTTGATTTGAGGAAACAACATGAGAATTAGGAGTCCAGAACAGAATCTCAGAGGATTTCTATAAGACTAGAAAAAACTAAAGCAATTAAAGGCAACTCAAGAACAGAATTTTGTGGGTGAAGGGGTCAATCATGAAGGTGGACTGTTTCTATCAAGAATAATCTTTGACCACCATAATGAGCAGCGAGTTTTATGGTATTTTAGGGTAATAAAGATAAAAAAAAGAGTTAAAAAATCAATTAATAGATATACAAGCTGCTACCTGTAAATTTTCCTTAGTCAGTTTCTTCTAAAGTCTTTAAAAAATAAGAAAACTCTTACTAAGCTGCTGGTTGCTGAAGACTTTAGGTGGGGCCTTATAAAGAATTGCTCCAGGTCAGGGCAGCTGCTGAGAAAATACTTGAATGAATCACACATTATTTCTTAGAAGTGAAACCCTTAAAATGTCTTTGCCCAACTTGAACAAATATGGCTCTACGTTACTGCCCAGACCACTTCTTTAGAGGATTTAGCTCCTTCCACCTATTAAAGTGATATTCTCAAATATAAGTAACCTGAGGACCCCCAGTAAATTATCCAAAGTTACATAATAGATTTTGGGGCCAGCGCCATCCCAAGCAGCAGAGCCATCATGTTATTCAATATGCAGGAGTTACATCATTACATGATTTACAGTTAACTAACAAATCAGCAGCCATTGATTGCCCCCTTTTTCACTGCTAACTATAGATAAAATAGGTAAAGCAATTCAATATGAATATAAAGCATATGTCTAACAACAGCAGTTTTAACATTCAAAATTATGGTTTGATTTATTAAACTTAGCTGTTTAACTTTCATTAATTTTATTTCAACATTTATTCAGACTTTTAAAATATCGTATTATGGGGCCTCCCTAGTGGCATGATATGTAACATGAGGCACAGCAGAACTCTCCTATCTCTCCCACTGTTCCCCTCAGCAATGTATTCAGTCAATCTGCTTGTTTTGCTCCACACTGTCTCTGGTGAATCCTCTCATCCACCACACACCTCTGGCCTGCACCCCAGCTTGTGTATGCATAAATAAAAATAAATCTTTTTTTGATAATAAAAAATAAAATATGTTGATAATGTTGCTCCAGAATACAGTATTGAAAATAATTTAAAATACTGTTTCATAAAGTTTCCTTATTAATTAACACTATACCATTGCTACTGATGAATTATTGCAAGTTGAAATATACAAGATGAGGTTCAGGTAGGCAATACCCTCAGTGATATGGTCCCAGTGCTATAAAGCATCTCCTTTTAGCAGATTCTGCATGCTTGTTCTGCCTACGCCCCATGATGATGACTCAAATCTCTCACCACCTTTCTTTGTTCAAGTTAGCATGAAATCTTTGTCTGTACAGGATTCTATAACATCATCTGGATTTCTCTTAATAAAGCAGGAGTTACATCATTACAAGATTTATAGTTAACTAACAAAATCAGCAGCCCCTTTTTCACTGCTAACTATAGATAAAATAGGTAAAGCGATTCAGTATGGATATAAAGCATCTGTCCAAGAACAGCAGTTTTAACATTCAGATTTGCTGACCAAATAAACTTTGCCATAAACTTTAAAACCATAAAAGTAGGGCCTCCCTGGTGGTGCAAGGGGTGAAGTTGCAGTACTGTGAAGTTATGGCAGCCACTGCAGCACAAGTTTGATACCCAGCAAGGGACATGACCTATATGGCATAGCAGATCTTTCCTGTCTCGCCTGCTGTGCCCCTCAGCAGTGTTATTTCACTAGATCTGTCTGTTCTTCTCCCCATTCTGTCTCTGGTGAATCCTCTCACCCCCTGCACCTCTGGCCTGTACCCCAGTCCTTGTATGCATAAATTTTAAAAATCTTAAAAAAAAATAAAAGTACAAATTATAAACCATTAACGCTGTATGTTTTCATGTAATGGTAACCACAATCAAAATCACAAAGCAGCACTTAGTTATAAGGTCATCCAGATGATTCAGAATGCTTACATTAATTTCTTTAATTATCACTGAAAAATTATAACGACTCTTTAGAACTCATGAAACTTATATTTATAAAATCATATTTGGGACACATCACCTAGAGATACAAATTTGAGAAATAGTTTTCAAAGGATGATGTGTTTGTTACAGTTAAATATAACCACAAGTAACAGATTAAACTCAACAAGTTTAAGCAAATGGGAGATTAACTTTTCCCATTTAACAAGTAGGGGCTTGAATAAATGTGGCTCTTCAAGGCTACTATATTAATTTAATGCTATCAGGGAACCAGGCTTATTTTAATTTTTCACTCCCAAGTTCACTAGCCTACAGCTTTTATTCTTAAGAT